CCTACAATTAACCACTGCAGTTTTGGGGGCCGAGAAATACCACTACTCACTGAAAGTACGTGAAACGAGCAGCTGGGCGCGGGAAGTCTTTACCCCTCTTCTCTTCCCAGCTCCTACATCTTTGGGGGAGTTTCTCGTTCTTTAAGAACTTGATAGATATGGGGAGAGGAAGAAAGGCACTCATCCTTAGTTACAGTTAGGCTGAAAGGCAACACACTCCACTCTCCTGCCCTTTACTTGGCAGCACAGTGAACTGTATCATTCACGGAAATTCCATGTGTCCAACTCACCTTGTTCCTTTGCGACCTCAGGTAAATATGTGGCTGTACGTTTGACGCCTTTTTCATTGACGAATTCAATTCGAATCCCATGGACCCCAACCTACAAAAACACACAACCGGTAAATGGCATTTACTCACTCTAGTGGAACTTCAGTTATCCTCATATAAACCGACACTGCCCCCTGACCAGCTTGACCCAGGGCTGAGAAAAGGGGAGGCTCTTGCCTTTCATGACTTACTCTCTCTCTCAGGCATGGAAGCCAAAGAAACTGCTGCTTTAGGGAAAGTGAGAGTCTACGTGCTGCCACCTCCCTGAGAGTACGGAGGCTATAGAAATAAATTCTCTCAACAGTTCATCCAAAGATCTTGAATATTCCACCTTTAATCTACTCCATTAAGAGAACATGCCACAGGGTTTTGATCTGGGCTCCTGACTCTGCGCACATGGCTTCTGACTCTGCGCACATGGCTCCTGATAAGGGCTTACCACAAAGAATCAGGAATGTTCTCCTTTATCCCCATTCCTATTCCTTATTAGACATGGGAAAAGGATGTGCAACAGAGTAGACTGGGAAGAATGGGAGAAGAAAGCCTTCCCATTTCTTCCTACTTCGGATACTGCAGCACCTTTTCTGTCACCCAAGTTGCCTGCAATTCCTCCCAAGCTCAGCTTTCACATCCTCAGACCCTCGCTCAATGAAGGAGACACGTTACCATGTACTAACCCGAACCCAAATGCAACGAGAGACGCAGAGTTCCAAATGCGGCTGCTCTCACCTCCCAGTCCAGGTAATCACCGGCATCCTCAAAGTTAGTAAGGAGGGAGACAGAGCAGAAAAGCTTAGGCAGCTCCTCTCGGGTCAGGGGGGGGAATCGGCTGTCCTTAAGTGCACTGGAGGGGACAGAAAACACAAGTGAGGCTGCTCCGGAGTTGGGAGCCAACATCATGTGCCGAACACTTATGGCTCTTGAGCTCTGCAGAAAATATCCACTATCCATCAGCCCGAAAATGCTGCAAACAACCTGACGCCACTAACTGCCTACACTTGGACTGGTAAGTGACTCACCGGATTAATTCCCCTACATTTCCTGATTATCCAAAAGAGAACACTCGGCCTTCACCACTCAGAAGAGACAGGCAGTTTTTTTCCATTCTTGCCAATCATCTACCAGTCTTACGTGCGGTTGCCATTACCTGGTTAGCGTGTATTCCCTGAGTCCTGAATGAAGATTCATGGCTGAGAAGGTCCCAATGCAGCCACGAAGCCGCTTGTCCCGCCCCGTCTTCCACGTCACAAAGAGCGGACTGAAAGAGCAAGCACACATCAATCAGGGAAGAACATCTCGGCTCTATCCCTGTTCATGTTCTTCCCCTCAAGGACGGTTTCCTGACGCGGGCTGTCTGAAAGGCTCTGCCCTCTCTGCCCTCTCGGAGCCGCGCAGCCCCAGGGTGTAAACGGAGAGGAAATCGCCATGAGGCACGAGAAGAAAGGCCCCTGCTCACAGCCTCACTCCACTCTACCACCACGTGGACGTGCCGTGTTCTTCTTCCTCTGCCCAGGACTCAACTCTTTCTTTCTTCTTCTAGTTCTCCACGTCTTTCTCCTCTTGTTTACTCTCTTTTCAGTTGTCTATGCTCCCAGTTCCACCTTCATGAAGACACACGGGGCCTGCACACCTTCTCCACTCAACCCCACATTGTGCCCATCATTATTTCTGCCTCTCCTGCTCATAAATTCCAGAAAAAAAGAAAAAGTCTCCTCAAGAAAGCTTGTTCTTGGGGAATTCCCCGGCAGTCCAGGGGTTAGGACTCTGTGCTTTCACTGCCGAGGGCTCGGGTCCGATCCCTGGTGGGGAAACGAGGATCCCGCAAGCCAAGTGGTGCCGCTAAGATAAAATAAAAAGCTTATTCTTAGCAGAAGTTAACCACTTTCTAGGCCCAAGTCATGCTGCATTAGGCTACATCCGATTGACGCTGACAGATGTTTTAGGCAGAGGTTACAGGGCTGTCCCCTCTTCCTGAAATTCCTCCATATTCCCATGCCCTTACCTCTTTGATTCTTGAGTTAACACTTCTCAAAAGCAACTTAAATTTTTTAAGTTATCTAACTTTGATCATTATTACAAAGCAGGATCTCCCACCTACCCATCTTTTCCTTCCAGTAAAACACTTGAACACCACCAGCCAAAGTTAATTTTCCAAAACCTGCTCAAAAACCCTTCAAGAATTCCACTGTCTCCACACCCTACACTGCTGCGGCCACCACCTACTCTTCCAAACCCATGTCCCTCTCCTGCAAGGGACACACCTGATCCCACTCAGATCAAGGCTTAGACTCTCCACCGACTCAGTCAGGATTTTTCTGTTCACGGTATCGCACGGCAATACTTCCCTAAAGAGTGAGCACATTTTTCTCTGCATTTCTTCTCCTCTGACACAATCACAGGAGTAACTTCCTCTCCACCTCTGCCCAGACGGTGTGTGAACACTATTTAGCTTCTGTGTGTGATCTGCCAACTCAAGTCTTCCGAGAGCAAGGACTTTTTCTTCATACTCCTCCATTCCCTGCCCAGTGGGGCTATGCACCGCCTCAGTATGGCATTAACAGTCGAGGAATGATGATCAGTCAGTGAATGCTCTAAAAGCATCTCCTAAAAAAATAAAAATAAAAAAGCAGCAGTGCTCTTTAAAGCCACCTCAAAGCTGCTTCCAAATGAGAAAGAAAGCATTGGCATGAGCATCTTCACTTGACTTTACCCTTTACACATATTCCTTATTAAAGTCATTGACACCTCGAGGGGACTTGGGACAAATAACAGAGTCTTGAACTAAAAACAGTAAAGCAAATTCTGACATTCCTGGTGGGGTGCCGGCAGCCCCATGGGACTGACAATGAACCAAGTGAGGGGACCCTTGTTAAGAGCATCTCAGCTCCCACTAAATGAGCTCCTAGTCTCCCACCTGGCACCCAGACACTGTCAGGTCACTTGGGCTTCAATGGTGCTCGGGTCCACAATGGTGTGATGGTGTGACTTCTCCACGTGAGAGGTTAAATGACCTACCCACTGCCATTTGAACCAACAGAAGACCAAGAACGAAACCCTCCTGATTCCAGGAACATTACTTTGACAAGCCAACCACTCCTGCAAACACAGCCTAGTACCCTTCCATTACTGAGCCCAGTGAGTGTTCTAGACATTGGCTGCACATTTCTCATCATCCTATTCCCAACAACCTTTGCCCAAATCATGTTAAGCTTTTTGTAAGTAGCAGACTCTCTCAAGAGAATGCCCCCGACAGAGGCGTCATGCCTTTCTCACCATCCCCGACACGCGACCGCTTTACTCACTAGGGGTCATTGGTGAATCTAGGAAGGCGTGGCTGTGGGAAGCCGTAGAGGTGACAGTAGAGGACGTCGAAGCAGTAGCAGCACATCTCTGCGGTCACCACCAGATTCTTGGTGGTGCTGGCAGTTCCATTGGGCCTGGGGAGAGGGCTCAGCGCTCCCGATGCGGGGTTCATCCGTGTGATGGGAGGGTTTCCAGGTCCCAGAGTTAAGTCCGACACATTCTCACGACCACCGCCGCCGTCCACATGCTGGTGGTTCTGAAGAGGCCCCGCGCTAGAGCCGGGGACGGCTGTGGACTGGCTCCCGTGACCGTGCGTCCCACCTGCAGACAGCTTAGGCTTCTTAACCCCACAACAGCCTGCTGCCAGCTTGGGCTCCAGTGGGGGGACGCAGCGTCTTTTTCCCATCCTGAACCAGTGCTTGAGGTCTGGAATGCTGCGGAACCCTAACCCAGAAAAGAACACGCAAGCATTAACTCAAATGGTTAGCCACAAGGAGAACACAAAATTCAAAGAGAAAGGGTCTCCATGGAGAGGGTAGGAGCCATCAAATTCTTTCTTGCCCAGGTCACATTGGTTGCAAAGGGTGGCAGACCAGTGGGCTAGAAGAGACCCTGAGTTCCAGACCGAAGGCGCCTAACCTCTTCCTCAGGGGGAGCCGTTTTCCATTTTCCATAAAGGTTATCATCGCCACGGACGGAGGCAGGCCACAAGCAGCTCCCTCTTGCCCAGGACTCCCTGGGCAGAAAGAAGGGTGGGGTGGCAGCCAGCATGCAGCTGAATGGGGATGCTTCAAGACTGACTGGAAGACTGCACTTGACCTGTCAGGTGCCTCATCAGGATGCTTTCTCTACCTTTTTAGAGGCTCCAAACTGAACCACCCTATTTTTAAAGAACCCCAGAGGAACTTTCATGCTTTTCCTTGCTCTTTTTTTGTTTTTTTGCGGTACACAGGCCTCTCACTGTTGTGGCCTGTCCCGTTGCGGAACATAGACTCTGGATGCGCAGGCTCAGCAGCCGTGGCTCAACGGGCCCGGCCGCTCCACAGCACATGGGATCTTCCCGGACTGGGGCACGAACCCGCGTCCCCTGCATCGGCAGGAAGATGCTCAACCACTGCGCCACCAGGGAAGCCCTGCTTTTCCTTGTTAACCACATACTTTCCGCATTTTCCTCATCACTAACCTCAATTTCTCTGTATAATTTTAGCCCCGGACCTCTGTGAAGATGAAAGGCAGCAGCTGTTCTGACAAGAGCACGCTTTCTAACTCCGGGCTCCCCTCCCACCTTTCCGTCCTCACAGCTGTCCTGCACAGCCTTACTCATTTTCTTTGGTTCTCCTCTGAACTCACTCCAAGTTCTACACTTCTGTCCTTTCAAGACCTCATTAAAAAAAAAGCTACAACCTAGCAGAAACCTTTATTCACACAAATGACCCAAGCTTCACAGCCCTTTTGTGAGGTAGCCATTTCTGCCCTGTCATAGCAAGGCAGACAGATGCAAAGCCATCAGCTTAACAAAATGTGGCATCAGATGGCCCAGGAAACCGGAGAGCCCCAACTGATTAAGGGGAGGAAGGAATCTTTTTCCACTAAATTCTTTTTCTTAAAAAGCCTAAGGTGAAGATATATAACTATAACATGACCAAGATCCTTTCTATTGTCTGTGTCTGTAGTCAGCAGGCTCAGGAAAAGAGATCCTAGTTATTTCAATGTTGATAATACCAAAGTTTGTAAAATTCTGCTGACTTGAGAAAAGTACACTTTGTTTTTCCTCAAGTCATTACCTGTTAGTTGTAGCCCTCCCACTCAAAATGTACATATAATCCCTACCTAAAATTTTCCCTGTGGTTTGAACACGTAGCACACAATTGCCTTTTAGGCACTGCTCTACTGTATAGTATTTTGATTGTAAATTCTACAACCTTTTACATCAAATTAGATATGCATGTACCCATCTGCAATGCCGTAATTTCTACAAAAACCACCTGCCACTTTAGGTCGAATGAGATACAAAAATTTCACAAATATTGCTTATGTTCCTGATATATGCTGACCCCTAACAAACACACATTTTTGTATCTAAGACAGTTCTTCGGAAGATGAAAGTTGTCTCTAGCAGAGGAATAACAGCTTGCATGCTTCAATGTCTGGCCTGAAACAGGGACTTCTTTTTGAGAAAGCCTCATGCACTTGATGCAGTAAAACCTCCAATGACTAGATTGTTTCTGAGCACGGATATCACTGCCTTGTTCAGACTGTTAAGAGAGGGAGCAGAAGATCTCGGTTAAAAATGCTGCCTCCACGCAGTGGTTGAGAGTCCGCCTGCCGATGCAGGGGATGCGGGTTCATGCCCCGGTCCGGGAAGATCCCACATGCCGCGGAGCAGCTGGGCCCGTGAGCCACGGCCGCTGAGCCTGCACTTCCCAAGCCTGTGCTCTGCAGCGGGAGAGGCCACAACACTGAGAGGCCCGCGTACGGGGGAAAAAAAAAAAAAAATTAAAAAAATGCTGCCTCCAGAGTCAAATGGCCTGCATTCAAATCCTGATTCCTCCAGGATTAACCTCTCTATGCCTCAGTTCCCTCAAACTGGGAATAACAGGAGCACGTGCCTCATGGGGCTGTTAGGAGAACTGAGTTTAATATGTGTCAGCTGCTTCCATACAGCGTCTGGCATAAAGTCAGCTGCTCTTATCATCTGGGCTTATCATCTGCTCCCACCAGGATGGAAACTCCCGGAAGGTCAGGACTTCGCTGGGCACTCAGGGCTTAGAGCATCGAACAGGTGCTCTTTAAACAGGATTTCACTGAATCCTCAAAGCCACTCAGCAAGGAGTACAATGTTACCATCATTTTACAAAGGAGGAAACTTAGGTTTAATGAGCAAGATAATCTGCCCAAAGCCAGACTGCCGCTAAGTGGCAGAGTCAGGATTTGGACCACAATCCATCTGTAAGACTCCAAAGCCTGGGTCTTCCCACCAAACCACAAAGAAGAATGAGGCCTGCCAATAATATCCATTGGATTCAGTCCCTTTCCTAAGGGCATGATTTAAAAAAAAAAAAAATCAAGGGTATACTAAAAACTAAAAGAATAGTTTGCAAAATCTTGCCAAGAAAAATGGAGCAGGGGGAAAGAAAAAATCAAAACCTAAGCCCAAAGCCAATATCTCCGCCATCCCGCTGACAATCATCAGTACCCCTGCCATTGTCCCTTGACTCCACAAGGGATGGCACTGCCCTCTGAGCTCTTACCTGACTTTCCACCTTGTGCATAACTGTGTGCAGGGGGTTTAGGACACGTGTTGAATGAAGCAGAGGGACCATCTCTCGAGAGCTAGAGTTTTAACAGCACCAACAGGGCCCTGAGGCTCTGCCTCTAGAGAGTCCCAAAATTCAAAGAGGCAAAGAGGAGGGATAAAATAGGTTAAAAAGAGAAATCTTTCCTCATTCGCCTTACACCAAAGCACACCTGAAGGAAGGGCGAAATGTCATGAGATAGTGGCAACTCAGATGTTTCTCTGCAGGTGCTATCAGCTACCTGACTGAAACATCCTACAACAGAGCAATAGAAGGGATTTTCAAACCATGCCAAGGCAGGTGAGCTCAAGCCTAGGAAGGTTCTGTCTACACATCACGTACAATCACCGATCTGCAGTTGGGGCATGATCACAACTGACACCAAGAGAATACATTTAACAATTCCCCCTCCCCAACTATGATTTGTAATCAGTAGAACCCACCCAAATCTTGTGGTTCCTTAGGCCCGAGCTTTCTCTGGAGGCCACTAAGCAAACAATTCAATAGATATTCTCAGTTAGTGACCAAAGGCAGAGTTAGAGACTTTCTGCCTCAAAAATATATTAGAAGGCATTTCTTTAAAAATTTGTTCCTTAGGGCTTCCCTGGTGGCGCAGTGGTTGAGAGTCGACCTGCTGATGCAGGGGACACGGGTTCGTGCTCCGGTCCGGGAGGATCCCGCATGCCATGGAGCGGCTGGGCCCGTGAGCTGTGGCCGCTGAGCCTGCGCGTCCGGAGCCTGTGCTCCGCAACGGGAGAGGCCACAACAGTGAGAGGCCCGCGTACCGAAAAAAAAAAAAAAAAAAAAAATTTTTTTCCATAAATTTAAATCTATAGAAAATTTCAAACATATGCAGCCTACTTACTCCATCTCCCCACCTCCTACTGAATTTTTAAGGTTTGTTTTTAAAGGGGCCAATATTTTACCTATCTGTCAGCGTCAAGCAAATGTTAAGTGAATGACAGGAAAGACTGAAGGTGCTGGCAGTGAGTACTTTCACTTACCATATCAACCTCAACCTATCAACTTCATCAAGTTTCTCTTTAAAGTGGGACTCTTCTAACCCCGCTCCAACAAAGTGGGCATCTCAACCACAGCTAAGTGTCCCAGACTCGGCTCCCGGGACTGTCCTACAATGACCAAAGACACATTCATTTCTCCAACTGCTCGGCTTCTGAGGGCACAGTGTGAGATCCCTCAGAATAATAGCATTTCAATACAACAGACTAACCTGCTGTCTGACCAGCTAAAAACAAATACCCCAACGGCATATTCTACCTCTTCTAGGACTGTGTGCATTTGTTCTCACTCTTCCCCCAAACCTCATAAAAACTACCAGCAATGGTATACTGATCATAGTAGGAGGAAATAAATATTACTCCTGTCAAGCTGGTTCATCTGAAGTAATTGGAATCAGGCAAAAACCCCTGCTTTGTAAACACATAGATCACTAAGACCCTTCGGAGCCTTCAGTTGGTTACTCTTTCAAAGCTAAACTCAAGGGCCACTTTAAGGGCCAATGGCAGTGATGTCATTTTCCTACTGTCTGTCCACTTTAGAACGAACAATGAAAAAGAACTAGTTAAAACTGGATTTCCACCAGATGGAGACAATACCCACACTTCCACAAAAAGCTGGAGGAAATAACAGTAATCACTGTTTTACCTCTTAAGACCGCCTAACCTAGCAAGTGTCAAATGAAGTAAAGTTGCTCTCAGTGTTGAAAAAGTCACCACACCCTTTACCTGACATGCAATATTCAGGGGGTCCTGGCCTTCACGAGGGTGCACAACAAAGGCACCTCTCCGGCCCCCTCTGTGGGAAAGCTGAGCAGTGTGTTGTTGATCTGGGCCGAGTGGCCTACAAAGCCACTTAAATTCCAGCCAGCAATGAACTCACCAACACCTTTAGTCTCAGAGGCCGAGCCGCATTTGTGTTTTTTCTTTCGCAACACCTAACACAGTGCCTTGCACATGGTAGACACACCAACAATCTTATCTACAGATCTCCCAGCAATTCCATTTAAGTTAGCCTTTCTAATAAAAAGAATATTTATGGCACAACCTGACTTTTAGATACTCTTGTTTCACTGTGAGGTGCTGACTGTTGAGTGTGTCAGAAGCTGAAAGTGACCGAAATACAAGTATCTATTATTATCAACAATGTCAACTCAGGGAATTCCCTGGCGGTCCAGTGGTTAGGACCTGGCACTATCACTGCTGGGGCCTGGGTTCGATCCCTGGCCGGGGACCTAAGATCCTGCAAGCCTCGGGGTGTGGCCAAAAAAAAAAACCAAAAACAAAGCAAAACACAACATCAGCTCTACTCAGCCCAAACCAAGGAATGGTTTAATTCATAGCAAGGTGGAGAGCCAACGTGGACAATTCATTCTAAAAACACGTCAAATATCCCCTACATTAACTTCTTGGTTTGGTTTATGGTGGTAGCTGTCTTCTTGGCTAAAACACAGTAACTGGTCAGTCCTAGACTTGGCCGCGGGTGCTGTTTAACTGTAGGTTGCTCAAGGCTTTCTTTCCAAAGGACACACCTAGTTTCTAAACTGCACTTGAAAAGAATTTTCTTTTCTTTTTCAAAGATGGGGTGCTTTAAGAGCTATGCAGGGAGCATTATCTGTCTGGAGGGCAATATACGATTTCAGGGGTTAATACACAACTATACTCCAATAAAAATTTTTAAAAAAGGAGTTAATACAAATGATGTCTCATAAATTGCTGATATTATAGACATAAACAAGGTGTGGAGACCAGTACTGAGGGGAGGATGTGAGGACACCCTGACAGACATGGCTGGCTGGGCAGGAGGGCCTTCCTCCCTTGCTGGGGATCCCTTCCAAGGCTCCTAAGTCCACTGAAAACAACAAGCTGGTGCCTTCCCAGAGCAGCTCCCATCTTCAGAGGACACAGCCCAGGCTTTGGGGTTACTGTCTAGGCTCAAATCCCAAATCTGACTTACCACGTACAAACTCAGGCAGGCTGTCACATCTCTGTGGACCTGGGCTCCTGCTACCACAGAGGGCTTACTTGTGAGCAATTCACTAAGACATGAAAAGCATATAGCACTTCTCTGGCACAGAACTACTATTCATTAAAGCATCTGCTATTACTAATACTAGGACTACCTTTACTGATAAAAGTAGTGTTGGTTATATAAATAACATAGCTCTGAGTTCTTACAATTTCTAGAGGGATAAATGTCCTCATAATAAAATTCTATTAAGAACTACCATGTAGGCTCAAAGATATTATTTTTAAAAATTTTTTATTGGAGTATAGTTGATTTACAATGTCATGTTAGTTTCAGATGTAGAGCAAAGTGAATCAGTTATACATATACATATATCCACTTTTTTTTTTTTTAGATTCTTTTCCCATATAGGTCATTACAGAGTATTAAGTAGACTTCCCTGTGCTAGACAGTAGGTTCTTACTAGTTATCTGTTTTACATATAGTAGTGGGTATATGTCCATCCCAATCTCCCAAGTTATCCCTCCCCCACTTCTCCCCTGGTAACCATAAGTTTGTGTTCTACAACCGTGACTCTACTTCTGTTTTGTAAATACATTAAAAGATCAAATTATTAACATGGGGTTATTACTCTAATGACCTTGATGCTTTTCCTCTTTGGAGAGACATGCTTCTAATAAGTCATCCACTGTTTTTTTCATTGTGAGACGCCAGAAAATATAAGGAATACTGGGCTGAGAGTTATGCACAGTTCTACAAGGGTCCTCTTTTAAGCTTGCAGCCATACGCTAAAAAGAAACTAAATTTGCTAAATACGTTGTTATTACAGATATCTTGATATATATTGAGTACTAACAGAACTACTGAGTCAAAGTAGTTAGATTTCCAACTATAACCAGATTAAAACATCTAGAAAAGCCTGGAGGTAGAAAAAAATATATATAGACAGTCACCTTTTGAAGCCTCAAAACAGCCTATGCGGGGGCATGACCTTATAACATAGAAAATGGATTTGGAAGGTAGGCAAAAAGCAAAGAAAAAAGGGGTCTCTGCATTTTCTTCTGTTATTATTTACTGTCCGGATGTCTATTGAAACCAAGCTTTACGCAGAAGGGAACAGGCTGCTGTTTCCTCTGTGACACAGAGTTGAACTGAAATTCAATTTAATCATTATTTGAGCAGTGAAACGGCACCTGAGCTATAATTCTGGCCTACTTATTATGGAACAATTCCAAGAAACAGATGAAAGACCCACAAACATTCTGGTCATCATTTCAAATAATCATTTCTACACGAAAGCCCATCATACACACATAAACATCCAAAACATTTGCTGTGTGAAAATTTTCCCTGCGAAAGAGATCTACCTATACAATTGCTTGTAAAATTTACAGGTTTAGAAAAATACACAGTACTATACACTTTCATGTCAACTTAGCTTAAGGAAAAACATGACCACAAGGAGTCAGATGCTCTGTTTTCTTTAGATCCCCTCCCTTTACTCTGTGAGCTATGGCAGGGTGCCAGATCCTTCTGGGCCTTGGTTCTTTCATTTGTAAAATGAAAATATTTGTCCTCTGCCTTCCTCACAGAGCGGCTGTGAGCCTCCAGTAAGATGCGAAGCAATCTGGAAAACTCTCTTACAAGTGTTTGCATACCATTATTAACAAACTTGAGGGGAACGCAGCAGTAATAAAAATTTTTCCAGAACTTGCTTTACGTGTAGACTTTTAATTATTTTTAAGAAAACAGTATCACCCTAGCAGATTCAGGGCAAAATGTTCCATAAATCTCTGAAGATTATACCCATGTGGAAGAAACCCAATAATTGACCTTGACAGGAACTGCATTAACCTACAAGTTATGATCTTTGTCTTTAAAAAATGCATAATTTGGGAAGCGGTGGGAGGCGGACCTTATGTGCTCGAAGGGTAACTAATACTACACCACCATCTAGGTCACTCTAATGGGATTATGGAAAATAAACTTGTCTTTACATATAAAGACAGCAAGTGGAAGGATTCATCAGCTTTAGGACACCCTCATGGAAGCAGAATAACAGAAGCAAACAAAGTAAACCTACATCCTAAAGTCCTAGCACAGGCCTAAAACGATAAAAAGAGAGCAAAAGCAACAAAATTCTAGTCTAAGTATGTCCAAGGTAATACTCACTGAAAGCAGAAAGTTTGTATTGCCAGGGGAACAGCTATAACAGAGGAGGGGAGCTATTTTGTCTCTGAAATGAATTTTCTTCCTTCCGATTCCATTCCTTCTTCCTGTACCTAAGATGGAAATGCAGGTGCAGTGAATGAACAAAATCAAGGCAGTGCCAGGGTAAGAGATGGTTTCTGAAAAACTACAACTCAACAGAGCAATTTCTAGAAAGAAAAAAAAAAGCTAAGAAACAGGCTTTCTTTAATTCAAAACATTTCAAAATCTAAATATAAGGCAGCAAGGGCAGCCCCATGCACAAAATCATCTCATCCCTGGTGCCATCACCAAAAAGGGAGGAAGGGGGGGATCAAAGGTTTTATTGAACCTGAACATAAAACACACATTAAAACTTCCTCCACCACTAATTTAGATCAAAACTTGTTCTCAGGCCAAGATACACCATTTCAAGGTTCTCCACTGGTTTCATAATACAAACAGATTCCCAAATCCTCTGCAAAGATGGTGCTGAAAGATTACTGGACAGCATGCCAGGGTCCTGAGGCCAGGCCATCTTGTTATCCCAGGTGGAGATGATAACTGTAGGTAAGAGTCACCCATCATACTCTTCGGCTGGCATAAATCTCTTCGTAATCTCTTCACCAACTCTCCCCACCCCCCCAGAAGTAGAGATGTGAGTTATTCCCAAAGATGTAAACAGGAGACTCCAGGCCCCACCCACTCTATCCTAGGAGAGGACAGTGAAAGAGGATAGGCCCAGAGGGATAAGGGTGAGGGAGTGTGGCAAAGTGAGGAGTTCAGATCAGGACAGGGGATGGAGGAGGGCGAGGAATGAAGGGCAAAGCTCACAGCCTAGGAAGGAGGGAGGCATAAAACCCACAAGAGTGTCAGGTGGAGGGATGATGGAAACGGGGACTCTGGGTGGATAAGGAAGGACAGAATGAGGGTGGAGTTGGGAAGAAAGAGAAGAAGAAGAGACGAAAGCGTGCGTGTGAATGAGAGTTCAGCGAGGAAAGGGCGAGATACAGTGGGGAGAGGAGAGGCCAGAGTGGGGAGGGACCAAACAGGCAGAAAGAAAGGTGAATGGTAAGGAAAACGGGGTGGAAGGAGAGCGCGGGGCGCCGGGAGTAGTGGTGGGACGACCCAGCGACTGGTAGGGCAGCGAGGGCCGAGCCGCGGGGGTGGAATCCAGACGTCGGGCGGGGGAGGGGGCGGTGGGACTGGGGGCGAGGGCCGCCAGGCGGCGCCGGAGACCACCAAACTTTACACGACCCGAGACTGCTTCCTGGAGGGAGTGCAGAAAGGAGCTGGAGCCTCGCCCGGCCTCGCCTCGCGGCCCGGGAGCAGGGGCGTCCGCCCACCCCCCCCTCCCCAGCACGCCTCCTGACCCCCCTGCTCCCGGCGGGCACACGCGGCCCGCAGGCCCCGCGTGCCGCCTCCTTTCACCGCCGCCCGGGAGCTCCCCCCAACGCTGTCCCGGGACCCTCTTCCCGAACCCGGGGGGACCCGGCTCCCCGGCCCCTCCGGTCGCCCCGGGGTGAGGAGGCCCGGCGCGCACGGCGGCAGCTGGAGGGAGGCCGGCCCGGCAGGCACGGGGGAGGAGGGAGCGGCGCGGACCGAGTTTCCCACCTTTCCTCCTGGCCCAGACGCAGCCGGGGCAGACGGAACCTCTCGCGCTCTGCCTCCTCCTCCTGCTTCATGGAGCCATGCACCTGGGTGGGGGCTCCCGAGAGAAGCGGGCCGCGGGCGGGCCAGACGCGCGGCGCGGACGGGGCGGGGCCAAGAAGGCCGGCGGGGGGCGGGCGGAGGAGGAAGCGGCGGGGCGGCGGTAGCGGTAGGAAAGAACTGCTAAAGGTATTCCCCGGGGCAGCTGGAGGACTGAGCCGAGCCGGGACCCGAGTCTTCCGGTATCCCAGCAGCCACCGGAGGCAGTGAGGTAATGGAGGAAGAATGTAGGGAGTCCTCCAGTGGTCCACACGCCCTCTAGCGAGTCGCCAAAACCATAGAGATTAGGGAGCCACTGGAGCACCACCCCGCAATTGTCACGTGGCCTGACTCCGCGCACTTTATTGGCTGGCGGCGACTCTGCGGGATTGTATTTAGGAGGCTGCTTCCCAGTCTTCGGGCCGAGTCCCCGGCAGTTGGAATAAAGAAGGCTGGGCAGTGAAGCACCGAGAGGAGGCCGGCCAGCTGGTTTCTCCCCCGACCCAGGTCACTGAGCGGGCCGAGCAGAACGCCCGGCTGTCAGGCCTGCCGGCGCAGTGCACGCCGGGCCGCCTTGGCTACTGCGAGCGAGCGCAGAGCGCGCCGGGAGTTGTAGTGTGGCCGGCAGGGCGGCATTGTCCGCGACGCGGCCCAGGTGCCGGCTGGGGATGCCAGCCGGGGTGTCCCGGCCTCGCTGCTCCGCCCTCTCCCGCGTTAGGACCCAACACTCACCTGCCCACGGCTTTTCTTCCCGAGCGCTCACGCTCGCGTCGCTTCCCCCGACCGGGCCGCAGCCTTCGAAAGCAGCCAGGAAGGCGCAGCTCAGACCAGCTTTAAATGCAGCTGACCCACTGGCTCCGGTCAGGCCCGCGGGGAGGTGTTCCAGGCTCGGCCTCCAGGCCAGCCTCCTCGTGGACGGGAAGGGGCAAACTACACCCGGGTGGTGCCAGGAGCCCACCTCTCTGACTTGACCCTGTGCGTCCCCAGCCTGGAGACGACTCAGGTGGAATTACCCACAGTACAGGCTTAATTCAATAGGTCGACTAAACACATTCCTCAGCACTATAGCAGGGCAAGAGCCTCAAAGAGAGCACTACCAAAAAACTCAGTTTTTAAAAATTAGGAGAAAATCATTTTACTTTCAAATACTTTCTATTTGATTTGACGACTTAACGTTTTTATTTTAATTACAGATGGATTTGCCCTAAAAGGCTTTTATTTCTGCCCTGCTCCCTCACCCTAACCACTCCACAAACAAACCGTTTAGGCCCTGCAGTAAAGGCATGCCCTATTTTAAAGTATCGCCAGTCTTGTTAAGAACACACACTCAACCCCACAGTTTTGTTTATGCACAAAAGAATCCTTAACGTGTTTGTCTTCAAGGAGCAAAGAAAAGTACCTAGTAAAAAATGCAAATCATATCTAACAGTGAAGCTTTCCAGCAAAAGCCTTCTGCTCTGGAATGCATAATGTACTAAAGCATAATAAGATCTACTACTACAAGACTTTTAGCATAATTACCTGTAGGCAGCAAACACCGAGAGTGATTGGTGCCTCTTGGACCTGGGACTCACAGAGAACTTGGCAAAGCACAGCAGTGGAAGAAAGAGACAATGATACCTTGCAGGACGGGAGGTCGATTTTTTTTAAAGCCATCTATAGCAGTCTTCATAATTCCTGTCACAGTCTTGATGAGCTTATCTGCTGTTGAGGCCCACATTGGCCAGTTTCTAACCTCTGTCTGCCTGAAAAACTACAAATTAGATGATCACATGGCCCAGAGCCAGAAATACAGGAGGCAGCAAGCCAGAGTTCCTTTGTTTGTTTCTGAATTAGAAAACCAAATCCTGACTTTAAATAATCAGAATAAATTTCACGTAGTGAAGGTCTTTCCAGCTCAAAGTCTTAAAACATGGCATCTGGAAAAGGGCCTTAGGCTATTGCTCCCAGAGTGGTACTGTGTTGTCATTAAACAGCCCACAGATAAGGGAGTTACTGCTCCCTGGTTATCAGGCTGCCAGGAGGTAAATGATGGAACCAAGTTGGATTTGAAACACTCTCAAAACAAAAACAAACTTTGCCTTGAGCTGTCAATGGCATTTTACTGAGAAGTAGGACCCAGACACTGCTGGTGTTGTTTACTGATGCCAAAAGGCAAAGGGTCAGGACTTTAAAAAGTCATTTTGGGGTCACCTCGCATCAGCAGGCAACAGTGAACTGGTGCAAAAAATAAGCAGAGTGGGGGCTTCCCTGGTGGCGCAGTGGTTGAGAGTCCGCCTGCCGAGGCAGGCGACACAGGTTTGTGACCCGGTCCGGGAGGATCCCACGTGCCGCAGAGCGGCTGGGCCTGTGAGCCATGGCCGCTGAGCCTGCGTGTCCAGAGCCTGTGCTCTGCAACGGGAGAGGCCACAACAGTGAGAGGCCCGCATATCGCAAAACAAAAAACAAAACAAAACAAAATAAAAAACAGAGTGAACTTAGGAACAAGAGAAAGAAATGAGGGCAATTTATGCCATAAATATGGAAGGGGCTGGGTCTTATTTTCTCATTTTCTGTGCATAATACAGAAGCCTGGTACATAGTAGACATAAAATAATTATGTGTAGCCTGAATGATTAAGTGAAGAAGAAAGACAGCAAGCAGTGGGAAAATAATACAATTGGGAAAGGGGAACTGCAGGAGAGCTAAGTGGCTCAAGCGCTCTGCATGGTCCTGAAATGTCACCGCAATCCACTGTGATATAGCTGTACCACTCTATCAAGATACCCCAAAACAAATCATCTGCCTCCCTGAAGCATACCTTTCCATCATTTCTTACCTTGAATGCTTAAGAATATATGGTAATGGAAGGGCTTCCCTGGGGGTGCAGTGGTTAAGAATCTGCTTGCCAATGCAGGGGATGCGGCCTCGAGCCCTGGTCCAGGAAGAGCCCACATGCCGCGGAGCAACTAAGCCCGTGCGCCACAACTACTGAGCCTGCGCTCTAGAGCCCGCGAGCCACAACTACTGAGACTGCGTGCCACAACTACTGAAGCCTGTGTGCCTAGAGTCCGAGCTCTGCAACAAGAGAAGCCACTGCAATGAGAAGCCCATGCACCACAATGAAGAGTAGCCCCCGCTCCTCGCAACTACAGAAAGCCCACGTGCAGCAACGAAGACCCAACAACGAAGACCCAATGCAGCCATAAATAAATAAATAAATAAACTTATTTTTAAAAAATGAGAGAGAATGGAATCAGACTGCATGGTTTCAAATTCCAGCCCTGCCATGAATACCTGTGACCCTAGGGCAAGTTCGTATGTCAGTAAAAAGGGGAATGTAGCAGTCCCTAACTCAGAGTTGTTATGAGATTTAAATAAGTTTATACATATAAAGCTATGATAAGGTTATCATGTCAAAAAGCTGCATAACTGTGAGCCTCATTAGTAGGGTGTTGTATAAGCATGAAATTAGCCTGTGCACCAAACATATACATTCTTTTGGCTGTGCACCTTGGATGGGCAATGCATTCATGCACCAAAGGCATTTACCAGCCTGTGGCAATGAAATAAGATTTCACAGGATATATTGATAGGTGTTATAGATTTCATTTGTCCCATTTTCCAGACTGACATGAGTCTGGTCTTGGTAGGAGATACAAAGTCTGCCTCTGTGCTGTGGCCTCCACAAAAGTGCCTGTCTCCTGTGTATCCTCCACAGGCTAAATCAGTTTGGACACTTAAAAGAGATGATGAATACTTACCTGATTAAAATAAATCTTTATCTGTATATACAAATGTCTACGCGAGTATTTCAAAAATGTGTAGTTTAAATAAACTGATTAGACTCACAGTATTTTGTTTGTGGTAGAGTTAAACCATATTACTCTGAGAAGATGTGTTTTTAGACTTTGTATGTCACTTGGGTACACAATTCATCAAAAAGTTTCTAAGCTTCTACTAGCATTATTGGTGGAATAAATGAAACCAAGTTGGAAAGCTCAAGTCACACATCCATTTATCTTATAAATACTTTTAATGTCTAGTCTGTACTGAGAATTTTGTACTGGTTTTTACTGAGAGATACGCATGTAGAATGCGCAACTCTTAAGTGTACAGCTCAGCGAATTCTTCCATTAGTGTACATGTGTGTAACCGCCATACAAATTAAGACGTAGAAATTTCCAGCAGCCCAGAATGCTTCCATAAGCCTCCGCCCAAGTATTAATCTCTCTTCAAAAGATAACCATTATTCTGACTGCTACCATCATGGAATAGTTTTGCTTGCTCATGAATGTCAGAGAAATGGCCTCGTAGAGTATGGATTCTTTTGTGTCTAGTTTCTTTTGCTCAACATTATGTACTAGGAATTCATCACTTTGGTTCTGTGCAGCTATAGTTCACTATTTTTCTTTGCTGCATAGACTACTATGCCATTCAATACATATTGAATGAATATACCACAATTTGCCTCTCCAGCATTATTTTAAAACAATCTTGTCCCCTTCTCCAAGCCTAGCGATTTAAAATTTTTTTACAAAATCTCCTGGTTTTTTTTTTTTTTTTTTTTTGGCAACCTCAGTGTAGTTCATCCTCAAATGGCAAATCCTAAAAATGGCTATTGTATCCGTCAGGACCCAGTCGGGAAGGAGGTAAGTCAGCAATACATCTTCACTTGTCTAGCCTCGGGGTTATGTCACCTCTCCTCACTGTCGTCATCATGCCAGCATAGAATTTAATCTTCCTGACATTCCACAGAACATCACATCAGAACATCACACAGATCCATTACATTCATGACATCTTGCTGCACAGACTGAGGAGCAGGAAGTGGCAAGTACCTCAGATGCATTAGCAACTCACATGTGCTCCAGGAGGTAGGAAGTAACCCCTAATCCCGGTAATGAGTATCCTATCAATTAAGATCCAGGAACTAGAAACTTTCCTTTGAAATGCTATAGGCGTTTCAAACCAAAGGGATGGGCCACCACCAGCTGGTGCTGGATTGAGAGACTGTTGCAGCTGGTGCTCGGGCCTTTGACAGTAGCTTAAGATGAGAAGGGACGCTCATCTCCC